AGTGTCTAGAACGTTGACTGCACTAGATCCTTCCCCTGCCCTCGACTCCCAGTGAATCTTGTCCCAACTGCGTCACATGAATTTATTAAATCCACCAAACCTTCCCCCCCCCGGCCTCCCCACTACTGGTTATATAGGACGCAATAGCTGAGCCTTTGCACGCAAAAAGCACCCTATTTAAGTAAGACTCGCCTTTAAAGTGAAATCGTTCACTAAATGTGATGCCTTTGTCCTCTAAAAATTTAGAGTGCGTATGAATTTGAATAAAATCCCCTTTACCACCGCTATAATGTACAAATCTGTTAATGCTAGTAATAATTACGTGAATGAGGTGCGCTCAAGGGTTACAGCTGTCGCTCGGCAGATTTGCCTAATTCTGTTGAACAATTGTGAAAGTTTCATTTTGCGGCGATTCTCATCACTACCCTCAGGAAATATGATCCACTGGCGAAAAAACAGCCTAATTTTTGGCCGGAGTAAGATGGTGGAGGTTTTTTCCCCCTTGCTAGCCTGGTTTCGAATCCTACCAAGGCAGCGTGTTTTGCACAAGTGAGTTAAACGAAAGTATCAAATCTATAAGAACCCTTCCCCCACTGGTTAAGGAAGACGCGATAGCTGAGCTCACTCACTCTTCTGTAGAGTGAAAGCGTTAACGTAAAACAATCTCCCTTTGACCTCTCAGAATTTAGGCAGCATTTGGTGTCGAATTAAACCACTTTACACCGCCGCTATAAGACAGTCGTTTGATAGATGATCTTCGACTTCATGTTGCAGTAGAATGTAAAAATCTGGCAATGCTAATAAGCATTGCACAAGCGTTACAGCCTGTCCCTCGTGGATATACGAGACTCATTTTGCGGCGATACTCACTGCTAAACACAGGAGCATTGGTCGACTCGGCGAAAAAAATAACAGCTCAATTTTCGGTCAGAGTAAGGCGGTGGAGGTTTTGTTCGTCCCTGCCCTCCATGGCTACGAGTACCGACCAGGAGTTGCGGCTTTTCTGACCCGCCGTCTGCCTCATCTGCGCAAATTAACACAGACCACATGAGTCGGTACGCCAGTAGCCGCCGGGACAGGTTTCTTTTCGTACAGCGTTGACGAGAAAGAAACGCAATTTCTCGCACAGTTGTTTTACAATTGAACAACCTGCTCATCGTGTAGAGTTGATCCACCATCGCATGGAATTTCTACCGATTTCACAAAAATGTGTTTTAATTACAAAAATGACTTTAGTAGGGTCGTGACATTGATTACCGCACATTAAGGATTTTTTAGTCATGATAAGACGCCGGTTTTTGAAGGAGCTTCTTTCTAATCACCTTCAACATGGTTTCCTAAGTAGGATGCATATTTTTCTTTATTTTTAGTGGAAATTCAATTAAATTGGCAAATTAAAACATAGTTTATGGAAAAATGCACCAGGGTACACTTTCTTGTATGCGTTTAAGAGCAGATTACGCATTGTTCAAATTTTATTATTATTTTATTATATTATTATGGTTATTATACTGTCATATTTTTAATTTTAAAGAGGTGTCTAATAATGGGATTTCTTACGACCGTGAAATGTTCACTCATAATACATCGTTATAGTATGCTTACTTTACATTGTTAAAGTTGCCTGCAAAGTCTATAAAATGGTCCACACCCATGCCCAATTTTCTGATAACTATGTAATCGCTGACCCCTTAACCGTAGGGAGATATGCACTTTTTCTTAGATAGAATGAATACAGCATGGAATTTGAAAATCTTGAATAAATCGTGACGATCAGTAGGGTTCAAAATTTTTGGAGAATTTAGCTATTATTTTTATTGAAAAGTCCCCTCTCTTTAAATAGAAGGTTTCAAGAAAGCGTGTACAGAAAAAAATAATATTTTCGGCATATTACTTTTACAGGCGGTCAGAAAGAAACTGGCTTAAAAACGGACATCCTGACGTTACTTATTTTTTTTTTTATATTAGGCTGTGCAATAAGTTATTTTCTCAAAAATAAAATGTGATTTTCCCGAATGTCGGTAGATGTGTCATAAGATAGGCGATCAACTGTAGGCATGCTTTTTTAGCGGTAGCAGCATTTGAGAAGAAGCAGACGACTCGATCGCTGGGACCATACTTATATTCGTCGGACCTTTCGAAATCCGTCGCGGATTCATCATCAGCGACAAAGTCAGAAGGCGGTAGCAGATACGGGTCAGCAGATTTTATAAAACATATACTGTTAGTACCCGTTATGTGTTTGTAGAATGGTGACTGCTTTATTATTCCACAGCAGTTGACCATTTTCGATTCAAACACCCATTTAAATATCGCGTCTGACA